TAAATAAATAAATAAATAAATAAATAAATAAATAAATACAACAAAAGAGGCTTGGTGTCTTTGTAGGTACTTTCCTTAAGGTAGTAACTTTCTTTTATTTCTCCTGCTCGCTTTTTCACCATGGTTGCCACTGGGGAAATACCCGGACAGTAGGGCAATAAGAGTTTTGGTTTTGTTATTTTGAGATACTAGAAGGTTACACGATGATTCAGCTTTGCTGTCACCCCAACTCTCTCAACTTTTTTCAAACAGTGCTGATGTTGAACTGGAGCATAGATTTTGTGAGGGTGCGAATGCTGCATCTATCACTAGCAAAAAGCCGAGTTAAGAAAGCATTTTGCAGAGCCTGAAGAGACAGCTTGGCAGTTAAGAGCACGTACTGCTCTTGCAGACGATCCAAGTTCAGTTCTGACCTGAGTTCAGTTACAAACTGAGTTCAGTTCCAACTGGACCCAGCAACCGTGGTGGGTGGTTCACAGTTGCCTGTAACTCTAATTGCAGGGAATCTGACACTCTTCCGGACTCCTCTGGCAACATGAATTTTGCAAGGGTATGTGGTCATAGCATAGCTTTTCTTGTTTTGATACCTTTCTGTCTTATTCTGTTGTACTGCATCCACTGGACCCCAAAAAGACCACCGAGGACCCAACACACCAAAATGCAAAAGCAAAGGTTTATGGTTTATTTGGGCTTAAGCTCCGGCTCTCAGACCTCACCAACTCAACGGATCTGGGCTGAGAGCCCAGAGTAAGGGAGAGTGGAGGCTTTTATAGGTTTTAGATAAAGGGGGGGGGTACCGAAGATATGTTTTGGTTGGTTTAAGGAGCCCATGCATGCCAACATAATTTTAAACCGATTGGATGTATAGGATGCAGCCCTGGAAGTTTCTTATTGGTAGGTGCTATTCTCAGGGCTGTGGAATGTGCTGACTGTTATCTGTGGGGCCAGGAGTCTCCGTTTTCACCTTATAGGGCAGTTTTTATGCGCGGGCTTGCTTAATCTATAGTTTCCTGGAAGGGGGGTGGGGAATAGCAGGCGGAGGGG